CACTGCCCAGGAAGCTTTTGTGCCTGATGCACCAACTCATCACCAAATCAATTAGGTTGGAAAAGAGCTCTAAGATCATCAAGTCCAACCTTCAACCACCACCTTGTGAACTGATGCCAAAGAAAAGGTTTTGGAGAACAAGGTAACCCTGTGCCACTGCCCAGGAAGCTTTTGGGCTTGATGCAGCAAGCAGGGAATCAATTAGGTTGGAAAAGCCCACTGATCACCACCTTGTCAGCTGATGCCAGAGGATTTGGAGAATAAGGTAGCCCTGTGCCACTGCCCAGAAAGCCTTTGTGCCTGATGCACCAACTGATCACAGAATCAATTAGGTTGGAAAAGCCCTCTAAGACCATCAAGTCCAACCTTTGACCACCATCCTGTGAACTGATGCCAAAGAAAAGGTTTTGGAGAACAAGGTAAGCCCTGTGCCACTGCCCAGGAAGCTTTTGGGCCTGATGCACCAACTGGTCACAGAATCAACTGCGTTGTAAAAGAGCTCTAAGATCACCGAGTCCAACTTTCAGCCACCACCCTGTGAATCGGTGCCAGCCCTCCCCACCCCCCCAGCCTGGTGGCAGGTTCCCCCCTTGCCTTTGGCCGTCACCGAGATGCCCATGGCCGCCTCCCTCAGCGAGCTCCTCTTCTTCCACCTGCCCTCGTCCACGTTGTACATCTCCACCACCTTCAGCGGCAGCTGGTTGGCCCCGACCCCTCCGACCACCATGATCCTCTTGCCCAGCGTGGCCACGGCCACCCCTGCCCGGGCCGTGGGCATGGGGGGCAGGGCTGTCCACTGGTCGGCCTCGGGGGAATAGACCTCGAAGGAGTCCACGGGGACCCCGTTGTCGTCGCAGCCCCCGATGGCGAAGACCTGCCCCCCGGCCTCCACCAGCGTGGAGTAGACCCTGCGGCTCGGGAGCGGGGCCAGGGATTTCCACTGGAAGTCCTTGGTGTTGGCCAGCTCCATGGTGAGGGGGGTGGGTTATGCTGCAGGGCAGAGCAGAGAATTGTGGAGACGCGGGATCGCTGATTGGAAAGACCTCCAAGGTTATGGAGCCCACCCTGTGCCCCAGCCCCACCTTGTCCCCCAGCCCAGAGTGCTCAGTGCCACAGCCAGGCCTTCCTTGGACACCTCCAGGGGTGGGGACTCCAAACCTCCCTGGGCAGCCCCTTCCAAGGCCTGACCACCCTTTCCATGGAGAAATTCCTCCTGATGTCCAACCTGACCCTCCCCTGGCACAGCCTGAGGCCGTTCCCTCTCCTCCTGTCCCTTGTTCCCTGGGAGCAGAGCCCGACCCCCCCCCGGCTCCCCCCTCCTGTCAGGGGGTTGCAGAGCCAGAAGGTCCCCCCTGAGCCTCCTTTTCTCCAGGCTGAGCCCCCCCAGCTCCCTCAGCTGCTCCTGCTGCTCCAGCCCCTTCCCAGCTCCGTTCCCTTCCCTGGACTCGCTCCAGTCCATCAGTGCCCTTCTGGAAAAGCCAGGGAAAAATAACAAGAGACACAGGGAGTGTGCAAACACCCTCCTGCCCTGGCAGGCAGGAGCAGAGCAGGAGCAGAGCAGGAGCAGAGCATCCCTCCCTCCCCACAGCCCCCCTGCCACCCGCCCCCCCAGAGCAGCACCACCGGTACCTTTCATTCCATCTCCACTAATCCCACAGATCCAGACCTGCCTCAGAAGCTCATGCAGAGCCCGATCCTAAAAATAAAACAAAACAAAAGAGGTGTCTGTGTATGGAGGGGGGGAAATAAAAAATAAAAATAATGAGGCGAGCGGGTTGGAGTCAGTTTGTTCTCCTGCTGCTCCCAGCTGCTGCTCCCCCCTCCCCAGGAGCATCAGCACAGCAAAGGGATCAGCTCCGGGATTTGGGCCTTGGCACTTCCAGCAGCTCTGGGCCGCTGCTCTCATGAATAATTTATTTTCTTTCCAGGTGAATATTCATGCATTTCCACGGACAAATCCAGCACGGTAAATCAGCAAAGGAGCAGAGGCAGCTCCTGTTTCCAGGAGCACGAGAGATTCTCACTCAGACACCCAGAAGTTCTTTTCCTGCCCTGTGCCTCGATTCCTTCAGCTCCAGAGTGCTGGGATGAGGCACAAGTGGCACCACTCAGATGTCTGACAGACACAGAACCTGCTGGTGCCAGGCAGTTTCTCTGCTGTCATTAAGGACCATCCAAAGCTTGAGAACACTTGTCTAAAATAGCCTAAAGATTCCTTTTCAACACACCAGCACACAGAAGGTGGCTCAAAGCACTTGGAGACGGCTGAGGATTTCTCTGGAGTGCTGGGCAGGTCCTTTGTGGGAACGAGCAGAGCAAAAGACCTGGAAATTCAGAACAAAGACCTGGAAATTCAGCCCAGGTGTGATCCCAGAAGGGCAACCAGCATCTCCAGAGCCCTCAGCAGCTGTAGTGCAAAGCTCTGCCTGCATTCAGCTGCCTCGGCATACAAATAACCTGCTATTCCTTTGCCATGCTATTTAAAGAAAATCAAGGTCAGCTGAAACACTGTGCCCACGTCCTCTGTCTCCCTGTCTCCAGCATCACCTGGATCTCCCTGGGAAGCAATGCCAGCACTGTCAAAACCTGCTGGCCACCCCCTCAGTGCACTGCAGCCAGGGACAGGGAATTACCACTTCATTATCCCAAACTAATTGGAAGCACTGACATTTTGAAATCAAAAGGAAGGGAAATTGCTTTTCTACCAGAGGAGCTGAGTCCACTCCAGCACCCAAACCTTGCCCTTGCAGGACAAAAATCCCTGCTTTAAGAGCTCAGCAAGCACCTACAAACCCTCCAGGGTCTTTTCCAAGTGGATGTGGAGCCTGGCTGGGCAGGGGGAGCCCCCCCAGCACCCGCTGAGAGGGGGTCAGGGCTCTTGGTGTGCAGGACTGAGCTCCCTGTGCTGGGACACTCCAAGGAAAAGCCATTCCTCACCCTGCAGGTCACACTGGGCTCATCCTGGAGAGCCCCTGGGTCACTGGTATTTATTACCTGCCATGATTTGTGGTTTATCACAAGCACTGGTGGGTGTCAAAGGGATCCACGGGCTGAAAAGGGAGAGATGTCCGTGCTCGGCGCTGCTTCCCTGTTCCTCCTGATCCCACCTCTCCCCAGGATTTGGGAGCTTTGCTGCTCCAGGTGTGAAATTCCCTCAGTTCAGAGCCCAAATCTCCTCCCTCCAACCATCAGCTCCACTGACTCCAGCAGCACGATCCCAGATTTCCACCACCAGCTCTGGGAACGGGTCAGGCCCAGGACTCCCATCACAGCCCCATCAGGAGCTGGGTCCAGAACACATCTGCCAACCCCAAACACAACCCACGTGCTCCTTGCTGTCACCAAGGGCAGGTTAAAACAGGCACAGTCACCAGTGGGGCAGAGGAATCCATGAAACTCCTGCTCCAGGAAAAGGCTCTGGTGTCTCCCAAGGGAGAAGGGGCTGCAAATAACCCGACACCCAGCATCACCCAACAACTTCCAGCAACAATTCCCACTGCTCCAGGGACAGGCATCACCACAGAGGCAGGAACAGGGGCAACACCCTGGGAATAGCACCTGGAGCCCAGCAGGAATCCCAGCTCCTGCTCCTCAGCACCAGGTGGGAGGGAGCAGCTCCCTTCCAGCTCTGCCTTGGCTGCCTGTGCTCCATCAAACCCAGGGCAGGAGAGATGGCAGAGCACAGCCCCCAGGAAGGCAGCTCAAAGGAGATGGTTCAGGGCAGGGAATCAACCCATTTCTGTCCCAAGGACTGTGGTGCAAGCCCAGGAAGGAGGACACAGAGGGGAGATCTCCAGGAATGTCACCCACTGTCAAAAAGGGAGGGTCTGGCACAGCCCTGCTCAGCCCTGTCTGCTCCTGACCCTCTTCCCAGTGCAATTCCAGTTACAGCAACATTTGGGTGCTTCCCTGGAGCTGTTCCAGGCACAGGATCCAATGCACAGTTTGGAGAAGGGAAGTGTTTCCTGCTCCTCAAGCACTCACCTGCTCTGAGGGGCAGAGAGGGACCAGGACACCTCAGGCAGGCTGTCCTGGGATCATCATTCCTGCTCTCCTGGGGCTCTGTGCTCAGTTCCACTACACAGGAAAGCTCCAGGTGGAGGTGGGACCCCACATCTCCCCAAAATCCCAACCTGCAGCTGGAGCTTCCCAGCTATCCCATCCCATATTGGGTAAAATCCGAGCTTTATCAAGGAATAAACAACAGCAAGTGATGAGGAAGGAGGGGACACACAGTGGCAGCTTCTTTGTGCTGTTTTCACCTGTGCTGGAAGGCAGCAGGGTGAGGAGCACCCCAAATAACACACAGAGAGAGTTTCAGGTGTGGGAGCAGCACCCAAAGCTCCCCATCAATCCCAGTAATGGAAGTGAGCTGCTTTTCCTCCTGGAAGCAGGGAAATGTGGTGGTCTGGGATTTGTCTGCCCAAACCTGGTAGATAAACTCCAGCCTGGTGTGGGCTCAGGCCTTTGCTGGAAAGAAATGATTCCTTAAGGCAGCAGAGCCAGGAAATACAACGTTCAGGAAGCTCTAAGTCCACGTTCCCTCTGCTCAGCATCCAAAAGGGAACCAGGAATCCCTCCTCCTCCAGGGATAAAGCTCATTTCTCTGCCACCAAATAGATTTTTAGAGGGGCTCAGCCCCCCAAAACCCCCTAAACTGTGCAACAGTCCAGAGAGCTCAGCCCACAATGTCATGGAACAGTAAGCCTGGGTTGGCAAATAAATCCCACTTTTAGGCAGAAAAGGCTTGAAACCCTCTGAAAACCAGGCACTCTGGTGCTTTTCCTTCTCCCTTGCTCAAACCCTGGCAGCTGAGTTCTTTAAACAGAACATGCATGAAATTTTCAGCCTGGCATTGCTGACCTCTCTCTGAATCAAGTTTCCTTGCCATAGTAACAGCTACCCAGAAAAATAACAACAACAACAACAAAAATCCACTAGTTCTCTGCCTTCTCGCTGCAAATCACCCAGCTGGCAAAAAATAAAATAAAAAAAAAAGGGCAAAAGCAAAGAGGAAACCCATCAGGATTAGGAGCTAATGAATTGTACCAAGCAAACAAAAAGCAGCAGAGCTCACAGGCAGCTCCTTTTGCTCCTCCCGACCCCCGAGCATCCCCTGCAGACTCCCAGAGGGGCAGTTTGGAGGCCGTGACCCATCCGACCTCCCCCCTCAGCTTCACCCCTTCCCCCCATCCCTGTCCCCCCGAGATCGTTTCCACCCTCCTCGTGCCAAAGGCACTTTCCTGCAGCTGCTGACAGGAGCAAGGCAGGGAGGCTGTGCAAGGGAATATTCCACAGCACCAGCATTTCAGGAGTGTTGCAGCCACGGGACAGGGAGAGAAGCTGTTTCGTTTTTTTAGCACAGACAAAGACCCCAGACCAGCCTTTTTTTTTTTTTTTTCCCCGTGTGGGCTGAAGAATCAGCAGAACAAGGTAAGATTTGCTCACATTTCATTGTTATAATTTAATCAAGACCAACCTGCAGGACCGAAGGGATCCCCTTCCCCTCGGTTGGGATGCCCAACCTGCATCCCTCCCCTCGCCCCCCAAAGCCGCCTCTGCACAAACAGCTTCTCTTTTGCACGAGTCACAAACACAGAAGGGCTTTTTCAAGCCCTGCAGCCTCTCTCGGGTTGTGTTTCCAGAGCTCCCGTCACTCTGTGTTTCGGCTGCATCCCTGCGGAGGGAATGGGAAGAGCCTGGGCCAGATCACAGCTGGGGAGAGGTCACGGCACACCCCCACCCCTGCCAGGGCCTGGGCTGGGAGAAAGGCTCGAAATACGGGGTCTGGGGGCTACAGGGAGGAAGGGAAAAAAAATAAAAAAAGAAATAAATAAGAAGTAAGGGTAAACCCGCCCTTCTGCACAAAAAGTAAAGGGGAAACCCATCCTTTTTAACCTTTTTTAACCCAGTTTTTTCAAACTCAAAGGTTTGAAAAGCCTGACACCGGCAGGAAGCTGTTCCCTTCCAAGGCATCCCTCTCCCGAATAACCCACTGACCTCCAGCGAGGAGCTCCCTCCTTCCCGCCGGGATCGCTCGGGAAGAGCAGAGGTACTCACAGCTCCGGGGAAACCGAGTCCGGGCGGAGCATGGCCAGGAACCCGCCGCAACTTCACCCCAAAAATGCCCGGTGCCCTCCGAGCATCCCCTTCCAAGCGCCTCCAGGGATGCGAGCGGCGCCGGGAGCAGCCGGGGCTGGGAATGCTGCGTGGGAGGGGGGAAAAAAAATCACCATAAATCCAGCGGCGCTGCTGTTCCCCCTCTGGAAGATGTAGGACGGTCACGGAGGAGGGTGTTTCCCCATCTGCTCTCCTCCTCGGAGCAGCAGCCGCGTGTGCGTGCGGGCTCCCAGCATCACCACTCCATACTTAAGCCTTTTATGGCTTTTAAGGCACAGGATGTTCTGGAACGGCCGCTCTCCCCCCCCCTCTCGCCCGCCCTCCCTCCCGGCAGCGCAAACAAAACTCCTGGGAAAGGGAGAGTAGGAGCTGGAAAGCTGGAGCTGCCTCCCCTGTGTCGGGAAGGGATGGGGGTCTGTCCAGGCTGGCTGCCAGAGGATGGACCCCAGGGCTCGGCGAGGGAAGAGCCCATCCCGTGGATGTGCCACCCCATTGTGGCCCCACGAGGGCCCCAAACCAAGCCCCAAATCTCTGCTCCCTGCACCCCCAAATCCCTGCTCCCTGCACCCCCAAATCCCTGCTCCCTGCAGCCCCAAATCCTTGCTCCTGCAGCCCCAAATCCCTGCTCCCTGCAGCCCCAAATCCTTGCTCCTGCACCCCAAATCCCTGCTCCCTGCAGCCCCAAATCCCTGCTCCCTGCACCCCAAATCCCTCTCCCTGCAGCCCCAAATCCCTGCTCCCTGCACCCCAAATCCCTCTCCCTGCACCCCAAATCCCTCTCCCTGCAGCCCCAGATCCCTCTCCTTGCACCCCAAATCTCTGCTCCCTGCAGCCCCAAATCCCTGCTCTCTGCACCCCAAATCCCTGTTCCCTGCACCCCAAATCCCTGCTCCCTGCACCCCAAATCCCCCTCCCTGCACCCCAAATTCCCTCCCTGCACCCCAAATCCCTGTTCCCTGCACCCCAAATCCCCCTCCCTGCAACCCAAATCCTCTCCCTGCCCCCAATCCCCCCCGGCACACAAATCCCTCCCCTGCACCCAACCCCTCCCTGCACCCCCAAGCACCCCACATCCCGCTCCCTGCACCCCACCCCCAATCCCCCTCCCTGCAGCCCCAAATCCCTGCTCCCTGCACCCCAAATCCCCCTCCCTGCACCCCAAATCCCCCTCCCTGCAGCCCAAATCCCCCTCCCTGCAGCCCCAGCCGTCCCACGGGGAGCTCGGGGGGTGCAGAGGCCCCGGTGGGATGGAGGACCCTTGGGCCCATTTCCCAGCCTGCCAGTCCTCCCAGGCTTTCACTTCCCTGACCTGCTTCTCCAAAAACCTGTTAAAAGCGTGTTCCTCTCCCCAAAGTGTCGCAGAATAAATTTGCAGAAAAGTCATTTCTAAGCCAAAGCCAAAAAGAGAGAAAAAAAAGATCCTTTCCATGCACCTTCCCTCAAACTTCCCAGCTCCTCCCCGGAGATCTCCTGGTTGTAGTTCAGCCCAGCAGATGTTTCTGATCCTTCAGGAACCCCCTTGAAGGGGTTCTGGAGCTCTGAAAGTCCTCGGCACCCCCAGGGAATTCTGCCCCTGCAGCTTTCCCCACCAGCACAGAGTTCTGAGCACCATCATCCCTTGAACTTACAACTTCCAGAGCTGGAAAAGTCTTGTTTCCACATCAGTTCTCCAGTGGCCACTTCCCTGGAGCAGCGACAGTGCCAGAGGTGACTGGAGGGGGGTTAAATTTGAGCCCCACGGTGACCAGGTTCATTCCTGCTGGCTGGGAGAGGCAACAATTCCAACGCATCTCTGGCCATAAAACAAGGAAAATGGGGAAATCAGCAAGAAGTTGAGTCAAATGACTCTTCATAAAGCAAATTCCCCATCCCCTGGCAGCTATTTTAATCTCCTGTTTAGCTTTCCAGTGGGAGGATTCAATTTGTATTTAAATAAACCCCTCCAGCGTGGGGCCAATGGAACAGGAGGATCTTCAGTGCAGAGAATTCACTTCTGAAGGGATTTCAGAAGATGCCACCAAACTGGATTTTAACAGGGGGCCTGTTGGCAGTCTGGCATTATTGGACAACTGTTAGTTGTTATTATTATTTAGCAGAGTGGTTCCAGGTGAGTCCAGGAGCTCTGAACCAAGGTTTCCCTGCCACAATCCACAAGTTTAATAAAAAAAAAAAAATAAGTCATAAAAGGTCTTCTCAAAGCACTGAAGGGCTGGGTGTGGAAAGCCCAGTTTCCTGGGAGTAGGGAAAGGGAAGCAGAGGCTGCAGGACACAGGCTGGTGTGATTCCCAGCAGGAATTTCTTCCTGGAAAGGGGTGTCAGGTGGGCAGGGAAGGACTGGCCGTGGCACTCACGGTGGGGTTGTGGGCACAGCTTGGGCTCGGCGACCTTGGAGGTCTTTTCCAGCCTAAATATTCCGGGATGAGCCGATGTCCAAGCCCCAGGGTTGGCAGCTCCTCTCCATGCCCACGTTCCCGTGCTGGGCACCAGCTCAAAGCTGCCTTGGCACCGGGTGACCTCTGTGGCTGGTGGTGGCCCAGGGGCTGTGCCAGGTTTGCAGCTGGTCCCTGGAATGCCGTGGCCCAGCAGATTCCACCTGGGAGCTGGGGATAAACCCTGGTTTCCAACCCCCCCTCCTGGAACACAACAGCAGGGCGGTGTCTGGAAGCATTTTGGAGCTCCTGCTCCGTGGGCTGGGGGCCAAAGGGCACCTTGGCTCAGGAGCCTGGGTTTGGCCCCAGGTGGGTTTTTGGTTGGTGGGTTGAGATTTGATTTTTTGTGCTTTTTTTTTTTGCGGGGGGGGGGTTGGTTTTGGGTTTTACGTCCTCCTTTTAAATTTTCCTTCCTGCTTTTTGCCTTCCTGTCTCACCTGCTTGGTTGGGCTCCTCATCCCGTGATGAGTGGGGTTTTCACATCAACCAGGGGCCTCTGGATGGAAGGAAAAACGGGATGGATTATGATAAAACAGGGAGCAGGGATGGTGGGACACACACCAGGGCCCTGGCAGAGCTCTGCCTTCATCATCCTCACAGCCCTACATACCTGACACTAATAACTACATTTTAAAAACTAATAATTATCAAATAGAAATATTAAAAAATTTAATATAAATAAATGAAATCTAAATATTAATATAAATATTAAAAACTAATCATTGAAACAGATCCTCTTTCATCTCCACAACATTTCATTCACCCACTTAAAACCAAACAACAAAGAAACTCCACCAGTGACCTTTCATAATTTCCTGGATGCAGGGATGGAGCCTCACCTTCAGGGATGAAGAGTCTGCACCAGCCAAAAAAAGAGAGAGAGACAAGAGAAATGTCTCTGTGAGAGAGACAGGAGGAATGAGAGGAAGGCAGGGGAAGAAGGGGAGTTTAAATGTGACAAAAGCAGCTTGGCCATAAAACCCCAGGTGTTCCAACCTGCCTGGTGGATGAGTCAGAGCCAACAGGCTGGAAAATAACTGTCTGGGAATGATGGAGCTCACACTTTCCACATTTGTGCCTCGAAAAAGCGGAAGGATTTTTTTTCCCAGGCTGCTTGGAAATGATAAAGGAGGTGAAGGAGGTAAAGGGGGGGGGGGGAATAATAGTCCTGAAAACCTACAGCACTCTCCTGCAGCCCAACATCTGTTTCCATGGGAACAGCAGGAGAGTTTTTTGCAGGAATTCCTGCAAATTACACAAATAAGCCCCACGGTCAGGTTTGATTTCCCTCTTTCTCACCTCACTTCAGGCTGAGCCAACTCCACCCGAGGAGCACTGACCCAGTCCTGGCTGGGAAAGGTGTGAGGAGCTGCACTGAGGAAGAAAACGGGGGGGGGGGAAAAGCAGCAAAAGTCCCCCCCAGCAGCCCAGTGAGAGGCTTTTCTTTGAGAAGAGATGAGGTTGTTGCAGATAAAGAGGAAAAGCAGGACCTGCCCGGGCACCTCCCTGTGCCAGCAGGCAGAGCTGGGGCTTTGGCACCAGCACTGGAGAGCAATGCAGGGGACTGGAGAGACACCATCCATCCTCCCCCTGTCATTCCTCCCAGAGATTTGGCGAGCTGACAGTTAATTAACCAGTTAATTAATTAATTCTCCCTCCTGCAGGGCCCCGAGCTGGTTACAGTGCAGGGAGTCACCTTAACAGGAGCAGACAGGAGCCCAGAGCTCCGGGATCCCTCAATCCCAACCTTTCTCCCACGGGGAGAAGTCCACCAGCTGCGTGTGCCCGTTTGCCAAACAGCCAGAGCCAGCCCTGCAGACAGGCAGGCACTTGGAAAAGACAGTGCTGGGCAAAAAAACCCACAAATAAACCCACCCTCCTGCACAGGAAAGCAGCTCCACTCAGCAGAACGAGCTCGGAGCTGCTCCGTGTGCTCCTCAGAAAAATAAAGGATAATTCCATGTTTATGCACAGCTGGAAAAGAGCTGTTTGCTCCCAGGCAGGGGGTTTATGGACGCAGCAGGGCTGGGAGCAGCTGAGCCCCAGCCAGGGTTCCCAGAGTGCTGGATCAAAGCAGTTTGCTGGGATCCCAACCTGCAGCTCCTGGGTGTTCCCAGTGTTCCCATCCGAGCTCCTGAGCAGCCCAAGGGGTCCATCCATCCCAGAGCCGGGGCCAAAGTGTCTCTGGGAACGAGCTGGATGAGCCTCTGAGCGAGGGAAGGGACTTTGAACAGCAGCATTTTGTCCTCCAGGTCTCAAAGGCAGGAGGGTTAATCATTCATGGGCCAGGCAGAGATAAGACACAGGAGCAGGCTGTGTAAAAACTGGATTTTAAAAAAATCCTTTTAAAAGGATGTGAAGGGGAAAAAAAAAATCAGTATAGAATTCTGATTTTCTATGAAAAAAATAATATTTTAATAGAGTTTGGTGAGTTAACTCCTGATCCACCTCAAAATGTTTCATTTAAATCGCAGAGAAAGTTGGTTTTCTGTCCTTTGGGGGTTAAATGTCGGAGCGTTCTGTGCTTTAAAAAGAAAAACCAAAAAAAAAAAACAGCTTGAAAACAAAACCCTCGGAGGAGGTGGGTGGTAACGGGATGTCAGTCCATCAGTAATTCCATCCACACCTCCAAGGGGGGAGCTGAGCAAAGCTGGGAAAAGGGGCTGGGGGGGCAAAGGGAAGTGAGACAGTTGAGGAAAAAAAAACCAAGAAAAAGAGGAAAACCACCAAAGAACAGCAACCAGCCCAAATATTTTCTCTGCTGCCACCCCAGAGGAGTGACAAGTGATTGTCCTTCAGATGCAGAGATGCCACATGTCCCCCTGACA